CCTGCGCCATCACCTCTGTCGTCACCGTCGCCTCCGTCATCGCCTCTGTCGTCAGCGTCACCTCTATCATCACCCGTGGATGCATGTGTTCCCGACGCAAAAAAATCGTCGTCGTCGCTGGATGTGCTGTCGAACAAGAAGTCACCCTCGTCCCAATGCATGCGGGCCCTGCGAATGCCACCATCCGTCCGCTGTCGCCGAGTCCGAGGAGCGGAACCCGCATCGCCACGTGTACGTCCTCCGACACCTGCTCGTCCACGGCCGCCACGTCCCCGACCATCGGCCCTGCGTCGCCTCCTGTCCGACTCTGCCACCCGACGCTCGGCTCCCATGCGGGAAATGACGCGCATCCTCTCTCTGGCGAGGCTCAACTCCTCAACGGTCACCTTCAACAGAACACCGGTGCCTCTGACGAGCTGCTGGTCCACGGCTGCCTCGTCCTCCATGGCCTGCCAATAATGCACCCATTTCCCGAATATGTCGGGCCTCTCTCCAACACCATCGTCGCACAACGAAGGTCGATCGAGTAGCCTGAGGTTCCAGTGGCACCGCACAAGCTTCTCAGCCCGGGGAACCTCCAACCTGTTGCGAGACTTCGAATGAATGAAGCTCCAACGAGACCACGCTCTCTTGCACGGTGAGGCGGTCGCCCATATACGAAGGATCCTGCCTGCAAACACGGCCGTGTGAGGGAACTTTGCCTTCTTTGAGGACCAAAAACTGGCAGGGTGATCAAAGATATCCGCAGCTCGCCGCATGGTGAGCTCATCGAAAGGGGGCTCCCTCGTGTGGAGCTTGGCGACCGCTCGTTGGACCTCCCTGTGCTGCGGCGAATCCTCCGGGTAGCCGAACTAGACAAGGGCCTCGACCAAGGCCTGCTGCACCTCCTCATCGTCACAAAGCGTCGCGTCCCGGAACTCAGGATCTAGCAGCATGGCTGCCGTGTGGGCGGGGGTCTTGAACATGGTGCGTCGCCTGTGGAACACCTCCACAATAGCGTCCTGCTGCTCCCGATCAATGTCACGACATGCGGATAAACAAGATGCAATCATTTCCTCGTAACGTCGCAGAATCTTGCTGATCTGGTGTGTGTCGCTGTCCACCAACTTCAGCATGCCCATGATGGGCTCTAGCATCTTGCACAGAGCTCTCAAATCCTCCCACCATGGAGGGGAGCCGATACATGCAGTGACCTCCGCTGCATCCTTGCGGATCTTGCTGGTCGACCAAACAGTCTCACGCCAGCGATCGTTGGCCACAACATCTGTCAACGCGGCCCGCAGTGCCACCAGCCTCTCCATCATGATGACGTTCGTGCCGAAACGCGTCTCCACCGGTAGCAGAAGAGTCTTCGTCGAGTGCGCCTCAAGAACCTCTCTCGCATGTCCATGGCGCTTGAAGAACCTTGTAACCAGCCTCGTTTGAGAAATGCAGGAAGCCACCCAATCAATCCCGCCGATGTCCTCGAGAATGAGATCCATGATGTGGGCGACGCAAGGAATCCAGAAGATGTGTTTCACGCTCTCATCTTTTTGGAATACCTCCATCGCCGCGACGTTCACCCCGGCGGAGTCCGTCACGAACGCCGTGATGTCACTCAATTGAACGTCCATGGACTTCACCCTTTTCGACCATGCGTTCGCGAGGGCACTGGCGTCCTTTTTGCCGCGCATGACGTCGGTGGACACATACACCACCCCGATCTCTGTACTAACAAGGTAGTTGCACAACGTCTGACCACGGATGTTGTTCCAACCATCGGTCATGATTGTGCAACCGGTCTCTCTCGACGTGTCAAGCACCGACCGAACACACTTCTGGACCTCACCATCCAGCTCATCCAAAAGGGTCGTGCGCGGCATGTGGTACAAGGGAAGTTTAGGCACGGGCGCCCCTGGAACCCCCGGCGGGATTATCATCGTGAACATGCGTTTGAAGTTTTCAAGCTTCGTGCTGTTGAACGGCATCCCGCTCTCGACGATGAACCGCATGATTTGTAGATGCCATGCGCGCTCCAAAGGGTCCGAATAATATGACGTGACGGCTTGCTGCCTGTAAGTGCCCCGACATCGTCCCGTCGTAGCTCTCCCACCGAGGACCCCAACATCCAACAACCCGCCAGGGCTCACAGGTGCCGCGCTCTGGGCGACTGCAAGGTCACGAATGCGCTGCAAAGGGTCTAACATTCCGGTCAACACGGGTGGACGCTGTGGGGCAGACCGACCACCGCCAGTGGTTGTCGGAACAGGGGTCGGCAATGAATCGGACACCGGAGCGGGGACCTCCTCGGCAGGCACCCCATGATCCACCTGTTCCCCGAAACGAGGCACGGAAGCAGAATGTCGAGGATCTGCAGGTGCGTGTGACGGATCCGGGTGGGCGGTTCCGTGAGCGTGGTGGACCACTGGACGCTGCGCCGCTCTCGACGGTAGCCAGGGGTGCTCCGACGAACTGCGGGGTGATGCGCCAGGTGCCACCGCAGTACCACCCCGTGCGGCATCTGACTGCCTAGCACTCTTGAAAACATGGGCAAGCGCGGGCGCTGAACTGCCGGCACTCCCCCCCCACCTGCGACTCTCAATAAATGCACGTGTGCTCTCCTCGTCAAATGTCGCAGAGCCCACACCATCCCTCAGAGGCGGGGGCTCGTTGGCTGGAGTGGAACGACCAACTCCCACATCGCGAGCACCTCGTGTCCCAGCCAGCGACGCAGACGGCGGGGCTGCCGGTCGTGTTGCAACTGTTGTTGCAGGACGCGGTACCGTGACTCGAATGGTTGGAGCCCCAGAATTGGGCGATGCGACCTCTCCAGAAGGGGCGGTGGGAGGAACCAGCAGCGGCACTGCGTCCTCGGGGAATCGAAGAGGTGGCCACTGCAAGCTCGGATGACCTGGCAAGTGGCTCTGCAACGTTTCTATGGCCAACGCGAACTCCTTTGGACATTTTGTCATGTCCTTCGACCAGATCACATTCCACACAGCAGGAGTGGCTGCCTCACATCGGAACTTCTCACTCTTCGAGAAGTGCTCCTTGGCGACAAGACAAGGAACATGCAAGAGAGAGAGAGAGAGAGAGAGAAAGAGAGAGAGACAGAGAGAGAGAGAGAGAGACAGAGAGAGAGAGGTATATATATATATCATACTTGCAAGCGGACGTCGTGCGCGATACATACTTGCAAGCGGACGTCGTCCGCTAATTCACGGATGGTTGACACTCAAGCGCACCGCGACAGTACGGCGCACGACCTGTGGGGCGCACAGAGCCCAAAAAAAAAACTCGAAAAAAAAAAAACCCTGCTTGTCGATTCATCCCTCGGCCGCCCCCCTAACAAAAATGGTTTCGGGGCCGAGGGAAATTTTTAGCGGGCCACGCTCAAGCGCGGCACGAAACAATTTCGATTTTTGGTTTTGGGTGGGGGGACCTGTTTGTCGGTGTGAACAGGTCGACAGTGGCTGTTCTGTCGTTGTCCTCGAGCCGCCTCCGATCCACGTCGTGACGAAGTGCCGTTCATTCACCTCGCCCGCCACGAGCAGTGCTCAACTCCCCTTGCGCTTGGAAGTTCGACTGTTGCTGAGGCCAAGCTCTGGAGCGACCATCGCCTGCAACCGCCCTCCAAGGTGAGTGTTCACCAACCCTCCTGCCTTCCCTCGAACTCACCTCCTCTTCCTCCTCCTCCAGATCTTCCTCCTCCTCCACATCTTCCTCCTCCTCCTCCTCCTCCTCCTCCTCTACATCTTTCTCCTCGTCCACATCTTCCTCCTCCTCCTCCTCCACTCCTCCTCCACTCCTCGTTCATCTGTCCTCCTCGTTCATCTCTCCTCCTCCACATTTCCCTCCTCGTCAAGGTCTAGTCAACGTTTCTTACGTAAACTTAGTAACTTAGTAAACTACTAAACTTTGAATAACCGTTGGAATCTCGTCGTCTTCCATATGCGGACTGCAAGGTGTGATGCCGACTGCCACGTGTCACAGCCTCGTCACTTTTTTTTTTTTTTTAATGGCAACTTTCAAGTCCGAAGTTCAAACTTTCGTGGTATCTCCTCCTTATCTCATCGTCCTCCTCCTTTGCTCCTCGTCGTTGTCCATCTCTCCTCCTCCCTACCTCCTCCTCCTCCGTCTCTTTTTCATTCCTCGTCGTCCATCTTTTGTCCGTCATCTTTCTTCCTCCACCTCTTCCTCCATCTCCCGTCCTCCATTCTCCATCTCTCCTTCTCCACCTCTCAGCCTCCTTTTCACGGCTTCGTCAACCTTTACGGTCCCGGGAACTTTGAAGTCCCGAACTGGCATGATATCTCATCCTCATCGCGTCATTGTCCTCCTCCTCCTCCTCCCCCTCCGTCATCCCTTCTCCTCCTGACCTCCTTGTCCTCCTCCTCCTCCTCCACATCTTCCTCCTCCTCCACATCTTTCTCCTTCTCCACATCTTCCTCCTCCTCCTCCTCCTCCTCCTCCTCCTCCACTCCTCCTCCACTCCTCGTTCATCTGTCCTCCTCGTTCATTTCTCCTCCTCCATGTTTCCCTCCTCGTCAAGGTCTCGTCAACGTTTCTTACGTAAACTTAGTAAACTACTAAACTTGAATAACGGTTGGAATGTCGTCGTCTTCCATATGCGGACTGCAAGGTGGGATGCCAACTGCCACGTGTCACAGCCTCGTCACTTTTTTTTTTTTTTTTTTAATGGCAACTTTCAAGTTCGAAGTTCGAACTTTCGTGGTATCTCCTCCTTATCTCATCGTCATTGTCCATCTCTCCTCCTCCCTACCTCCTCCTCCTCCGTCTTTTTTTCATCCCTCTTCGTTCATCTTTCTTCCTCCACCCTTTCTCCATCTCCCGTCCTCCATTCTCCATCTCTCCTCCTCCACCACTCAGCCTCTTTTTCACGGCTTCGTCAACCTTTACGATCACGGGAACTTTGAAGTCCCGAACTGGCATGGTATCTCCTCCTCATCGTGTTGTTCTCCTCCTCCTCCTCCTCCCCCTCCGTCATCCCTTCTCCTCCTGACCTCCTTGTCCTCCTCCTCCTTCATCTCTCATCCTCCATGTCCTCCTTTTCCTCCTCCATCTCCTCCGCTTGTTGTCACGGCCTCAACACTTTTTTTTTTTTTTGCATTTCCTCCTTGGCATTGTCTCAGCAGAGTCAGCACTCGTTTTTTTTTGTTTTTGTTTTTTTCTTTTGGATCGAAACATGAAACATTGGAACTGCAATGGTGCCTCCTCCTCCTTCAGATATCCTACTCCTCCTCCTCCTCCTCGATCTCTCCACCTCACCTCCTCCTCCCTCTCCTCCTCTTCATCCTCCTCCTCCTCCATCCCTAGTCGTCGTCAAGGTCTCGCCATCTTTTCTGATGTGAAATTCCGACTTAACTGGTATCTCCTCCTCCACCCCTCCCCGTCCATCTTTTCTCCACCCTTTCTCCTCATCCTCGTCCTCCACTCCACCTTGTCCACCTTTACTCCTCCATCTCTCCGTCTCTCCTCCTCCATCTCTCCGTCTCTCCTCCTCCATCCCCCTCCATCTTTCCTACTCCATTTCTGCATCTCTCCTCCTCCACCTTCCATCCTTCTTTTCACGGCTTCGACGATTTTGTTTCTCACGGGAACTTTGAACTCTTGAACTGGCGTGGTATCTCCTCCTCCTCCTCCTCCTCCTCCTCCTCCCTCTCCACCATCCCTTCTCTTCGTGACCTCGTTGTCATTCTCCTACTTCGTCTCTCATCCTCCATCTCCTCCTCTTCCTACTCCATCTCCTCTCCTCCTTGTCATGGCCTTTGCACTTTTTTTTTTTTTTT